GGAGCTGAAGAGTGTTGGAGCTGAAGAGGTTTGGAGCTGAAGAGGTTTGGGGCTGAAGAGGTTTGGAGCTGAAGAGGGTTGTAGCTGAAGAGGGTTGGAGCTGAAGAGGTTTGGAGCTGAAGAGGTTTGAAGCTGAAGAGGTTTGGAACTGAAGAGGCTTAGAGCTGAAGAGGTTTGGAGCTGAAGAGTGTTGGAGCTGAAGAGGTTTGGAATAAAAATTACCCAGCTGGGGAATACAAACTTTTTAAAAATTATGAAAACCCTGCAAAAGCAGAAGAGAGACAGGAGTATTTATGATTTCAAAAAGCAGGTATCAATCAATTCCAGCATGCTTCAAATGAAAAGCAGTGAAGAGGAAACCAGATCAAGGACATCAAAATTGGTTGAGAGCAAACAATCATTCCTGCATTGAAGTTGAATCAAGGCAAATGGCAAGAAACAGGAACACATGGTGCCAACAAATCATGGGAGGAGAAAATCAAATCAAAGGTTTCACTTCAAGCCATGCCACTGGCAGCAGGATAAAATTGTCACTCCTGTCCCCACTTTGAAAGCCTTTTGTGGCCTCAAAAATTTCCTGAAGTGATTTCTTGGTGTTTAGGAAATTGTGATTTTTCATTTTTGAAACATCAGTAAATTATTAACACTTATGATGTAAAAAAGAACAATTTCAATCAACCCATTTCCTGTTGTTCCTCCTGGGACAAACACCCACAACTTGAACATTGTTGCCTTGGGTTCAATGAATGCAAGTGTCCCTCTTTTTGGAAAGGATATGCTTTTTGAACACTATGGTTTGACCAAGGCAATCTTGGCCAAGCCATATTTTCTACAATGACTTCCAGGAGCAGGAGCTTGGCAAAGTGAGTTCATTATTCTGGACATATGCCTGTTTATCTTGTGTTTGGAAAATAAGTCTTTATCTTGCCAGTTTTCAATATAAGAAGATCCACAGTTTCAATATATATTTTCTAGTTTTTCCATTGCTCTATATAGTCTATACAACAAATCATGGGAGGAGAAAATCCAATCAAAGGTTTCAATTCAATTGTATAAACATTTTGGGGGTAATTGACACATTTCTAAGTTGCTGAATGTTGTATCTCTTGGTTTTCTTTATGGAGCCTCTCACTGCATTCTAATGTAGACACTGCAAGTTTTTTCAATGATACCACTGAGAAACTTCAGAAGCCTTCTAAATCTTTCTCAAAAATGTTGGCTGGATTAGAATAAAATATTATACTTTTCCCTTCCCTTAGTGTTCATTCATAAATGCAATGTTTTATTTGAAGTGCTTATGGGCACAATATTTTTTTAATATCCCAAGTTAGCCACACAAGAGTTAAAATTTTCTGAATTTTTTGAATAAATGGAATATGTGGATGAAATTTTTACATGCTGCCATCTACACTCAAAATTATGATGAAAAATTTATGTTTCACACAGGCACATACTTAATCATCATGCATTTGTTTGATTTTGTAAATCTTTTGTGTCATGTGTGGAAAAGCTGATATTTTTGTGCCCATTCTTAACCAGACACATCAAATTAACTCTCAAATGCACTGAGTTTCATGTTGAAGCATATACATATGGAGTACAATTTTTTAGTTTTCTGATTATTGGTTTTGACATATTTCAGACTCCATTTCATTGAAAAAGGGGCCATAGTTTTAGAGTACTGTGCATCTAAAACAGCTAAATCAAGACCTGTTACAAATAGTAAGCAGTTTGACAAAATGCAGAGAAAAGTTCTGAAAGAATTAGTTATTGCATTTCATTGAACCTGCATTTGTATACTAGTATAAATTCTTTACTTCCTTCTGAGTTAACTTATTTGCTCATACCTGTCTGTCCATTCAAATAGAGGAACATATCTTCTAGAACTGTATACTGTTTACTTGAAAGAAAGGCATACAATTTAAAATGTAGTCAAAGAATTTCCAAGGTGTATGCCATGTTGTGCATTTTTTGAACACCTAGCCTTCCCAACCAAAATCTTTAGTCCTTCAAGAAATTGGACCTTTCAATTTTTTTCGTTCCTTCTATCATTTATGAAATAATTGCTGTACAGCCTATGCACAAAATCAGGCCCAGAGTTTTATCGTACAGTCTAAAATGAGTTGATGAAAATGAGATTTCTATAACATGGTGCCTATGGAGAAACTGCCAGGACCATGGAAAATTGATAAGAAAAATGTATTGTTATGAGATTCATTGTGATGGAATTTGACCTTATCTATGTTTGGTTAAATTCTAGCCTCAGATATCCGGCCTTTGTTCTCTACAAATTATATTTTTTAATGGTGTGATGAAAAATTTACATTTCCTTTCCACAAGGAAATAGGCCCAGTTTTTGCCCAGCATCAGGCCAGAATGTGGTTTAATCTGGCCCTGTTCATGCAAATGATGATTACTGCCTGCAAGCCTGTCACAAATTGTGGTCTTCTCATTCAATTGCAACAAAGACAAATAATTCATCTGGATCATAAGTCCTTCAAACAACAATAAAGAAAACAGAATAAATACCACATTACTTTATTGATTTTGGTGTTATTTTTACAAGTTGTACATTTGGATACCCCTTTAACTTGAACGGATTGACTGAAAAGTGGATTTCCTGATTAGACACCGTGGTTAATTCAGGTAATCCGTCCCCCGGTGTGTAATAGCCTTTTCTTCTTATTTGAAAAATGTCTTTTGAGTCCGTGTGGAGGGAAATCTCATAACGCTTCCTGTGTATTTTCCTCTCTCATATACCAGTGTTTTGTGAAATTTTTCCATCACAGCACATCACCACCCTATACTGTCCCTTCGATAACTTCTTACCGTTGAAGCATTCAGGATAAACCAATCCCTCGTCAATAAAATTTAAAGAAGAACTCAAATAAGGTTGCGATGAGGAGAAACGAAATTGATTCTTCCTCGTCTCAGTTCGAGAAGATCATCGAATTACAGTACTGTATATAAAAGCGATGGTGTGGCGGTGACTGCGGGTTTTTATTGTGTTGGATGGGTTTCGTCCGACTTGATAAAGGAAAGTATAGAGACGATCACGCCCAAGTTTATACTGGATGATGAAACACGAACGAAATTTCCTACTTCCTGTCTTTCCCTGTGTGCGCTTCTCAATCATCCATGTATACACGGGTTTCCACAACAAAGGTCAACCATTATGAAGAAGAGCACAGTTTTCAAACAAGATATTTTATACACACAAAAAAAGGATCTCATCGAAAAAGACGGATACAAATTAGCTGCGTGTGTTGACCCACAGCAGTTTTCCGTAAAACTTCAGACCAAACTTCTTTAATAAAAATCGTGAACTATGACTTCATCATTCCATCAGAAGCAGCGAATTATTTTTACAGGTGGCACAATATAAGTCACGCAAGGATCATGTTTTTCATTTTCGCAGGTACGAGAAGACATTGCTTTACTAATTCACAAACAAGATGATCAGGGAGTTATCACGTCAGCAGCAACGAGGATGCAGTATACAGGCGCAGAAAACTTTGTAAGCTGATGCAGTATACTACTTTTTCATGCAAGATAGCGGATGAGGTTCTCCTGCTTCAGGAAAAAGAAGGCACCGGCACGCCATCAAATAATACAATACTACGATACGCATACGATTCAATAAGAGTACTGTAATTAGACAGCATTCAAGGATTCTCCTGACTGTACGGCTGTACTGTACTGTAACTCAAACCGAACGAATGGATAATCTTTCTCTGGAATTGGCAGCAGAATGTGCTTCCGCGTCTCCGACGGCGGCCCACTTTTTCTCGCAAAAATTTGGAACAATAAAGGGTAATTGCATGTTGCTGGAAAGGAAAGTGGGCATCGCGATTCTAAAATAATAATAATACTGTACTAGTCATACATGATGCTCATGGATTTAAATTCCAAATAAAAAGAAGAGTATTAGAAGCGTACAAAAGAAAAGTTAACTGATATCTCAGGAGGATATTTTTTCCTTTTTCTTCGGAAGTTCCACTTTTTGTACGTGTAAGCCGAACAAATCCAATTTTCCGGCATTTGAATTTCGACGGCCTTAATTTCAAAACAACGAAAGCTCACGATGAGGTGAAGTGATGATTTTTTCGAAACTGAACTCAACTGCTCAGGAAACATACCCTAGGTGGCCTAGGATAAATTTTAGTACGGACAGGAATTTTCAAAAATTTCTTTCCGATGAAAAACAAAAACAACTACAGTATTACACTATTACAAACGGATGAAAAAATAAGACCACATCTAAACAATTGTTTCGTGCCTGTAAAGAATTCTGGAGTTCAAGCACGTGATAAGTATCTTCAGACAAACAAAATCACATTTCTCGTAGAGAAAAACATCCCAATCTTCGATTTGACTGCCTTCACGAAGAATAATTTCGCACGAGTGTGTCGTCAATCTCGGCTAAATCTCAGGAGTTCTACTTTTACTCAACGGCAACTGCGTCTCCCGAATGTGGGAACCACGTTTCTCGAATCCAATCGATCCACAATGAAGCAAATATAAAATTTATGGAACGAGATAAAAAGAGATTCGTTAGGAATAGATCGGAACATGTATTCCTGCGCACAGCACGGAGACCGCAACGAAAATGCATCCGCATCACGAAGCTGTGTACACAAAATCATCACGACTTGCAATCACCGACAAAAAGGCGTGCGGGCCCCGTGATTGGCATAATCTCCGAGAAAAAATAAAATAACGGCTGAACGCCGATGGTTCAACGATTTCAGCAAAAACCGTCCGGCAAGCAAAACAAACTCTTCGTGTGCTTCCAAGAGATCATCGACCCCGTTCGTGACAACACTTCAAACAAAAGCGCGATTCTCCGGACGCTTTCCCTCGTTCCTCGAGATATTCTCATTTTCACCGCCAATAAGCTTTTATTGGATTCTGCAGAAGCATTCACAAAGTTTCTCAATATATTCCAATACTGAAACTTGAATCCACTGTCACAAAAAAAAATGAACAGAAGATAGTAGAACCTTTTTAAGTTGAACTTCAAGGGACCAGCGAAACAATTCGAGTTAGGAAGGTTTCGAGTTTGGGAAACAAGAAATTTTGTTGGGGGAACAAAGGAAGAAGCACAGGTAGAGTAATTTCATTTGGTGATGTTCTGGGCCTCAAATTGCTTCTTAAATGAGTTGAAATGTGGTTGCAAGGGTTCGTTTGCTCAATTAGTCTTTCACCTCCTTTAAAAACACATCAAGTTTCATTTTTCATCCTTTTCTCTTTGTCTGCGTCAATAAAATATTATATTCGCAAATAGCCATACAGGGAATCTGAGTTATGGAGATTTGAGGTGGAAATCCTTTGAGTTAGGGAGGTTTGTAAATGCATTGTTTCTAAGGGAATACCGACAGGGACTTGAAAGAACAAATCGAAATAGAGAACTTTAAATAAGTTCGCAGACGTGAGTCATCGAGGTTCAGCTGCATTAAAAACGTATACAGTGCTTTGCGATACTGATCATTAAATTTTCGGAAATCCAACGCGGCAAACGATTGGAGTGTTCTTGGATCGACGCGAACCTGTGGTGAGCTGACATGTAAAAATCAAGTCTTCGTGATGCATAAAAAGGCAAGAAGTCACAAACAAAAAACACAGTGGCAAGCACAAAAGACACGGCCAAACGAATACCGCTAATTTCATCACAATTCATGGAGTCTCCGCTGACGTGGCAGACGGTCGCAGTTTCCGATAACATGGGCGGCACACGGGAACTGCTCGCTGACTGCTGAGTCCTGGCAATGCCACGTGCTTGTTGATGCATCTCGTGCAGAAGACTTCTCCGCAACTCCAGCAGTGGTACTTCGAATAATAAGAAAAAAAAATTAGAACATCAATCTCTCAATCTATCATATCTATTATCGTTCGACGGACCATTACTCGAACCCCAAAAATTCAAAGGCTGGGACAAATTTCATATTTTTATCTAGCCTGAAAAGCATTTAGCAACCTATGAGAACACTGACGGTAACTGGAAAGTTTACCCTTGTGCAGGAAATTGAAAAACCTTTCAAAAAATTTAAAAAACGAAGAAAATAAAATCCCAGAACCTTAGAACATTGTGGGTTATGTCCCGATTTTTTTTTCTTTACTATCACACGTACTCTAAAAATATCAGCGGTAGCGTCGAACTAGGACAACCTGCGTATACACACCATTCTCCGAAACACATGGCACCAAATGAAGACGTATGTACTGAACAAGTTCTCGAGAATTCACATGATTTCAAAATATAATTCCTACTTGTCCTCATTCAGAAGACACTAGGCAAGTGGTAGGCACTTCTAACGTACAAGAAAATCTTGCAAGATACACGTGAGAGTACCTAAGTTCCATTAGCATAAATAATCCCTGATTTAAATAAGTTCACAGATGTAAGGAAAAATTTCAGACGCGGCTTTAGCAACAGAAACCCTAACGTCCTCAATTTCACACACAACAAAACTAAACCCAAGATCTTCTATTCCTGATTGAAAGATCAGGAAGCGATAAGTCTTGAAAATACGAATACAAGGATCACGATGCACCATTACATTTTATCGCCACATTCAGCACGAATTCATCGATAAAATTGGTTGATGCGGACATGGCCAGAGAAGAGCAACGGCGACGTTAAGTAATTTACTTTCACCGAACATTTAGGATCTAAGATACATTGTTTTTTTTTTTTGAAAATGTCAGAAGTGTCGTAAAAAAAACTCAACGCCACAAGAAAAACTCACACGCATCGAATTCTGGTCAAACGGTGTAGAACAAGGGCATTCAGGTAGGTTTCGAAACGACTTCCAGTCCAACGCAACACTCTCCAACTCTTCCCGCATTTCTTCCATCGAGAGTCGCCATTTCCTCTACGAAGAACCCCGTTTAATAATTCTAATTTAGGAAGAATTCTGAATTTAACGATCTCACATCTTTCTCGATTCCATTCGCCATGGGAGTCGCAGGCTTGCTCTTCAACGCAGCTATCCTCTGCAAAATTTCAAATCATATACATGCAGCATCGCAGAAGACGTGATGAGGACTTGGACTATACCTTCTGAAGAAGCTTGATGTGATCCTCCAACGAAACACAATGTTGGTGTACTGAGGCTGCGATGTCTTGCCAATTATCCCTCGGATGTATACCGTTCTCGAATCTCATATACATTCCTCTCCAAAACCTTCCCATACAAATCTCCACTATAGTTTTTTGAACTTGAAAATCGGTCGGAAACTGTTACTCACATCAAACCCTGTGGACTCAATGTTGGTTGAAGAACGTGCAGCTTTGAATCTTCCACCGCATAAATCGGATTTATGAAGTCGTCCATGTGGGTAGCAACGTAACCCCACAATGAATACGTTTTTTCGGAAAGTCTGGATAAAACATATCGTAAAATATCGTCACAACAAACTTTTGGGAACTCAAGAAAAAGTTTGTTGGACAGGATACTTCGTTGTAATGGAGATATTAAAAATTAATGACTGGAAGAAAATTTTCAAATGAGACCTGCCCATAATGAGTTACATCTTGCTTTTCTGGCATTCTCATCCTTTTAATCATAATTTCAAAAACTGAGTTACCATCTGAAAAAATTAGTTTCAATCATGCATTCAGTCAGCTTTAACAATCTTTCCATTTTGGGAGTATGATGTGTGGAACCACTTAGAAGCATGTTTGTCATCGATTATAGCTTCCATCAATGCCACAAGAACCAGTCAATCAAATTTGGGTTGGAAATTTCAGACTTCGTCTGTCTTAGTCAAGAAATTTCTACCTGGAGAATCTATTGAACAATCCTCAATTAAATTTTTTACACTGAAATTGGGAAGTTTTTCAAAACGAGATTGCTTCAACATGTTTTATAAGCTTTCTGCCGGGACTTTGAGAAAAAGTTTGTTACACTGAAAATATTTGTTCTAACGATATTTGTTGTGACCAGATTTTACTGCATTGACAAATGATTCCACCATAAATTTGATTCGCATACGTCTCCACGTGGTAAAGAATTGAAGTGAGAAAAATAAAAACAATTTAACCGGAAATTAATAAATTTTTACATAAAATGTTCGCACACACGCCAAACATCCTTGATGCTCCAAAAAAGCGCGTAGTTGCATTGCTTATTTCAGAAATATACTGCACCTCAGATCCACGCGATCCTTCTCGCAATTTCCGACGAACGTTCCGAACTGCGGGGCGTGGGCGTGGTCGTGCAGACACAGCAGGAATCTCTCGTTGAACTGGAAAGACGTCGGGAACTGCATCATCAACTGCCACACGCACTCCAGGAACTGCGTAAAAATTGGACTAATCTCTCGTCCCTCATTTGCTGTCTCCTGGCCGGGAGACGTATTTGCACCAGCTCCGAACAATCCACATCGATCCATGAATTTGTGACCAAATGCCAGCCACTCCTTTTCAATGAGCGCCTTTATAACGAAAAAGATAAAATCAGGATTTTTTTCTACGGTAATGATAACAGATCGAAGACGCGAATTGGTCCAAGATCTATAATCATTATGGTTCACGCATTTATTGCGTGAAGCTTTGTATCCGCAATGTTTTTAGAATAATTGAATAATACTACAGACACGAGACGGAATCGTGCAACGATCGAGGTCAGTTTTGAGATACAGTACGAACATATTCTACAGGAAAAACATGCAACAGTACATCGCAGTCACTCGGATAAACGATGCGCTGTTTCATTAAAATTAACTGAAAAATCATATTCGACCGCAGATGGAGAGCACGATCACTTCCGACCAACAGTCTATTACTTTACTGTATTTGAAATGCTATAAAATTCAGTCGAACGAATCCTTGCTGAAAATTTCACTTCACAGATATTCAGAGCTGAAATCCTGAAGTGTTCGAGGAGAGCAAGAAGCGCGGTTAGAAGCAACGACTCCTCTGATTCTGAAGGAAATCAATGCAGATAAAGTCGTCTTAGTACAGTATTCGCATGCACATTTTTCTAAATTTTAAAGGCAAAAAAATCGAAGCGCTCCATATCTTCATGGTGTCTAAAATTCGCATGATAACCTGTATGGTAGTACTTCAGTACGGTATCTCAGTTTGCACCACGTAACTGAAATAAAATCTACTACTCTCAGACAAAAATTGATCAGTGACATTTCGTGTGAAAAATACTTGCCCACCTCTTGAGTCAATCTTTAGAAAAATAGCGGTATTTTCATATCAATCCAATGAAAGGGACCTTCGGACGACATTGAAACACTTTCGGTGAACAGTCACTGCTCATCACTGACTTGGTAACTGAAACGGGTACCGGCGAAGTGCTTTTATTTCTGAAGGTACATCTGCTGTATCGAGCTGGTCAATGTGTCAGGATAGGATTATCATCTGTGATGAGGGTCTCAATTTCCGCGAAACATGAGAATGCTCGCGTAATTTCCTATCCCTTCGCTGATCAAGAAGTTTACAACTAAATGTTCAGAAATACAACAATGTTGTACAAATGTACAGTACAGTAATGATACCAAGAAATTCGAAAAATATGATCCAGATTTGCTGAAAGGTAGCACCAGGACATATCTACTTTTTGTTTCCATTACAGCTGAAAGTTTACCTAAAAATGTAAACCATCTTGTATAATCAAGAGTTTTCGAATCAAACATCTGGGACGACCTTGCTGAGTTCCGTCGCAATACACTTGAGACGTTCAGGCTCGGAAAAGTCACGATTTCGCAGAACTTCTAATTTGAACCTGGCCTCTCTCGGTCTTCGAACTTCTGCCGGGAACTTATTCAAAGCTAGTACGACGAAAAAGCGTGCAAAAACTTGAGTAGTACTGTAATGAAAAAAAAGATAAAAATTTAAGTTGATCACAGTTACACAAAAAACCCTTAGGAAAGAATGAGTGTCCCTGGAACTTATACATCGAAGAAATAAACGTCGCTTTCGTAATATGAAATCTTAATAACCTTCGTGACGGCTTTTGCAGCAATTCGAACAACTTGAATCATTTACAAAAAAATACAGTGGAACCTCGTTACAACGAATAATCGCTCAGAACGAAGTCGTTTTCTAGGTCCTTGCAGAATAGCCACAAAGTTAAACGAACTACTTCTATGCAAATTTTTTTTACAACGAAGCTTATTTCCCGGTCCCATTGACTTCGCGGTAACGATTTGTCACTGTATAATCATACAATAAAAACAAAAGGTAACATGGAAAAAATAGATCTCAAAAAGTTTTCCCCACGGAAAATGGTTATCCTGATCGAAGACCTTAATGATTCGATGCTTCTTTTCAAGCATCTTCTGATTATTTGTGTACCCGATAGTGTGTTGGATGTCTCCAAATGAACCAATACAAAACCTTACAAATCATGCTCACCAAAATAAGGGCAAGAAAACGAAACACCGTATCTGTTCTACAGTAATTTCAACTTATCATCTCTCAGAAATAATTGACATCAGTGATCACAGGCAATAGTGAGATAATGACGAAAAATACGACGAAAGAACACAAAAAGCGAGCTACGGTACTATACGAAAATAGGCAGGACAAATCAGCATCGAATCCCAGAAAATTCGGACGCGAGTAATATCGCTTCAAAAAAACCAACGAAGCAAATCACCTGGAATCCTTGGATGGTGCGGTAATGGGGGTCAATTAGCAGCTGGGCAACAGAGCACACTTGGGCCGTTCGATCCCATCCGTCTGAACAGTGCACGAGCACGGACACACCCTCCGAAGCCAGTGCTTGCGCGACAAAATGAGAAGTTTCCAGAATAGCTTTTATGTGTTTCAGCCACGCACTGCTCTCCAGGCCGGATAGAAAGCTGCTCATACTCGGGTTCTTCAGCTCACATGCTGAGAAAAAGAAAAAAGAGCAAATAATCCTCATTTTCCACTCGACGAGACTCGAAATATGATCCGGCTATTAAAGAGACTTGCTCCTGCAGAAATCTATCGTTTCCGAGATCGTTTCCAAAGTTCTTCCCGACAAAAATTGTCGCCTAAACGTATTACATAAAGCAAATTAAAATCTCGTTACTACAAATACCAACATCATTACAATAAATTTTTCAGTAAAACCAAATTTATCTTTAGTCCTGGCAGAAAGCCCACAGAATACGTCCTAAAACAATCTCAATATAATTAAGCGGGGACCTCGTCTGTAGATTCAATTTCTGTGGCAGGCAAGCCACCCAAAAAACTTGAAAAGTGACCCGAATGAGAAAAAAAAGTGTTGATGTGAAAGCCTATATGATCCAATTTTAATGGGGTTTGAGCAAGACAAGAAGGTGCCTAGAATCTCGAGATACCGTTCCTACAGAGTAAAATCTTGCTACCGCAAATACCAGAACGACAAATTTTCAAATATAAAGTCCTGGCAGTAAGCCCATAGAGTACACATACCGTAATAGCAATCTCATTAAAACGAACTCACAAATTTCAGTATAACAATCTTTTTTGAAGAATGTTTAATAGATTCTCTAAGTAGAAATTTCCTGACTAAGGCAGACACAGTCTGAAATTTCCAATCCCAAATTCGGCTGACTGGTTCTTACAGCATAAATATAAGCTATAATCAATGACAAACAATCTTCCAAGTGGTTCCACACATCATTCTCTCAGAATGAAGATACTGGTGCAACTGATAGAATGCATGGTTGAATAATTTAAAAAAAAGATCACTCCATTTTTCAAAAGATCATAAAAATCTAAGAATGCCAGAAAGGCAAGATTTTATGTTTATAGGCAGGTCTGATGCAAACAATTTTTCCAGTTATCAATTCTGCAAATGTTGTCACAAAAAACTCTTCAGTGCAACGAACTTTTTCTCAAGTCCTCAAAAGTTTGCTGAAACGAGGTTTCCTGTGAGATTATTAGAAGTATCATCAAACATGGACTCACCATCATTCAGCTTGGATAAACTATTCCGAACAACGTGTATGTTCTCGATTGGCAAAAACAGAAATTGGATGTTCTCATAAAAATTCTTGTTCTCGTAACCTTTCCCGGCAGCTCGATTCGCCATGGCGTTTATCTTCGGGCGAGTGTCCACGACATACATGAATCCCGCATTTGGATTCGCTTTTAAAACATTACATAGCATCGTTTCGTCTTCCACACAACGTGCGCTGAATCCGGCAAGCGGCTGACTACATCTGCATAAAGCAGCCTGAAAATATAAGACGGTGTTCGTTAATGAACAATACTGACACTTTTTTTTCTTCATGGAGATATTGAATTCACATTTTCAAAAAAAAAAAAACGCAAAAAACGTTTCTCTACGCCATGACAAGAAAACCAAAATTAAGTTCAGGAAACATATAGTTATGAATATTGAATGAATTATACGGACAACGAATCAAAGGCGGATTTTTTTCAATTATGCACACGTCGGGTTTTCCCATATTGTAAAAATGAGTAAAAATTTCTGTGGCCTATAAACAGGAAATTTTTATAATACAGTGTTGTCTCCATGAAGAAACTGTCAGCATCAAAAGGATCCGTTATAACGAGATACAGGTTTTAGCGGAATTCTATTGCATAATTCCCGTGCAATATTTGGGAAGAACAAACACAAACCCGCCTCTATCAAGGACTATTTCACCTTCCTCGCATTCGAAATACGCAGTTTTTATCTGATGAAAGTTTCAAAACAAGCGCACGAGGAGGAGGGACAATTTATTTCACTAACTACTCACGAGTCCCCACATACACAGCACTGTACCTTGTTTTTGTGTAAATACGAAAGAACAGGCAAACGGCCACGACTCCGAAATTTGGAGCTTCCAACAAGAACCGGCGTCGAGGCAGACGTGGGAACGCAGAGCACCCTCGGGTACGTATCACAAAGCTGCACAACAAAGGAAGACGTCAGAATAAGGCCTGAACAGAGGTGAAAGGCGACTTAGTGGCGTCTGAAGAAGGGGCAATCGAGCTTCACCGAGCTTTCCTTCGTCACCATATTAAATTCAGCACGTCCGTCAAGGATTCAAAATCCCGTCTCCGAGTAATGTATTAAAATGGGAGCGAAGTAATATTACGCGGGCGGATGAATCTAGTAACACTTCCTCATAAGTCTCATGAAGTTTAAAATGGTCGCAAATGAAAAATTACAACCAGAGGAACACGTTGCTCACATGGAGGAAATTATTCTTCACATGCGAACAGTAGATTTTCAAGTTCTATTAGTTTGCGCCATTTATTTATTCGGAGACACCAAGAACGAGTACAGCACAGTAGTGTACCTGCAATCCGAAGCAAGACACAGGTAAACATGATCTGCAAAAACGCGCCTTCCCCCAAATGCTTTTACTCGGCTCAACATAACCATAGAAGGATCTCAAAATAAAAATATTTCTCCTTGTAAAATAAACGAAGAACTAAAAAGTGTAAAAACAATGCAGCACGATTTTCGCATAAATAACTTCGGAGGCTTAGTTAAGTCGATGCACGTTCTACCATTTTCCCGAGGCTTGGAATGGATTAAATTCCTATAAAACTCAATCACCATCGGAAAATAAGTGGCCTGGGTATTTTCAAAAAAAATCTAAAATCCAACGAATGAGCGGTTGAAAGGCTGGGCAAGAAAATGTGAGAATTTACTCTGTTATCACAGGATTTTTGAAAATTTTAGATTTTTGATTCATCAAAATGTATGCCGATAACGAACAAATCCGATACTTATAGCGTCTTGCTGAAGAATTGTATTATTAGTATCCTCATTTCGAAGTTATTTTCACCGACGACGACTGGATTGCATACGTCTGAAAACTTTCGGAAGCACCCTCATATAAAGAAAGAGAGAAAAAAAAATCGCCGAAACAAGCATCAAGAAACCGCACCTCGTAGTCTTTGTTGATGGTCGTCAAGCACCAGGAATCATTTGGGACCCCGAGGCGCTGAAACTCCGCCTGCAAATCGAAGAAGTTCCAGCCGACGCCTTGCGAAAGCTCTTTGGACGGACTAGAATAGTGGAAACAGTATAGATCGCGGATGTCCGCAGGCTGTGATAGACGCAAGACCGCATTGAACACGTCCACACAATCCCGTTCCCTGGGTATCACAAATCGCACGGACAAAAAGGACTTGCACCGTATGTGCACAGGTGAACCATACGTCGTCAGCGGTAGTTTCTCGATCGAAGAAACGTGAGGATGCAAAATCTGTCAATGGAGAGTATACCTTCAAACTTTCGGAAATAAATATCCTTGCGTAAAAAAAAAGACAAATACGAAAGGTCTGACACAAGTTCTCGGGATAGAAATTTAAATGGCATCTGATTGACTTGAGACGAAAATCAATTAATTATTGTTTAAAAAAAAAAACCTTCTTTTGCTTTTAAAAATAATCAGCCAGGTTGACATATTTTTTTAAATTTTTTTGCAAAAGTCACCCCGGCAGCTTGCTCATTTTCACTCAAAGGACGAGGCACCAAACTCGCAGATTTTCGATTTTTTGTTTTTTGCGGTGCCCAGCTTCTTCAGAATTCTTGAAATCGACATGGAAATAATCCAAAGGGTTGCCTACAGGTCTTCCGAGGTAATTCCGCCATTTTCATCAACATGTGCCACTTGGGATAAGAAGTGGCGGCTGTTGATGAAAATGGCGGAATTGGCGATTAATTGATGGTGGTAACCCATGGAATTAATGCCCTGTCAATTTCAAGAGTTCTGATGGGGAAGCTGAGATACACCAAAAGAATCTTTGAAATGGGCGCAAACTCTTTTGAGTGAAAAACAGAAAGCTGCCGGGGTGACTTCTGCAAAACTTCCATGAAAAGTACTTAAAATAAGGCTGATTTTTTTCTCGTGTCAAAGAATGTTTTTTTATAGAAAATACTTGCTTTTCAGCTCATTTGTATGCCGCTTCAATTTATTTTCCTAGAAACATTTTTAGACCCCTCATATTCTTCCCGCATTAGCGGTTGTTCTCCGAAACATACAAACTCACGACTCAAATCCTGAGAATATTCCGGAAAACCAACATTAAGAAATCCAATAAATACGGCATCACTTAGATAAGATTCAGGAAGTAGCATGCTCGAAAAATTGAAAATCAAAACGAAGTCGATGCCGCATTACGATGACATAACTTGATAACACGCAGTTTTCTACAATACTAGGAACTAAAAGCTGAATCACACTACATAGAAGATCAGAAGAAAAAGGTAGAGTATACAGTACAGTACTTCCACAAGATGATCAGTGATGCGAAAATATATTACGCGGCACAAATACAAGACCATGCGTTCTTTGAAGTTCGTATTTTTACGGTTGATCTGAGATACAAAAAAACATACTCGGACAACGAGGACGGACACCTACCCAAGTTTCTTTCTTATTATCCGGGTCGACGAAGATGAGATGGGTCGCCGTCAAGTATAACGTGCCAGTGGACGACGCCTTCGCGAACTTCTCCAGCATCCGGACATTTTCCACCTGGGACCAAGAAAATTTTTTTTCCTTGTGATCATAATATGTATGAAGAAAAAAGATTACCGTTCACACGCGAAAAAATGTGTCGATCGTACATCAAAGCAAGTAAGAAATGCACCCAAAACGTTATTCACATTTTCGAATACTGTCAACGTACAAAAATTCAGGGCTGTACATGATTTTTCAGAGACTCTTTCCTTTCAAGTGTTGAAAAATAACTTTTTTCTTCGAAACTTTCCATCCATTTCCATTAATTAATAGGACTTTAAAACGAGAAGAAAAAAGCTCGCCGAAGTGAGATTGAATCGAACTTCGAATGGGATTTGAAAATCTCGAACGACGCATGGGATCAGAACCCGACGAATGACTTCAAAAGTAGGACGATTTTCAAGAAAAACTTCACTGTAAGAAAGACTTCCACGTGAAGTCCCCCAGAAGTTTGGATACGAAAGGAAGTTCTAAAAAAATAATTATTCTTCCTTCGACACTCAAAGCGTAAAATCGTAGATAATAGGGACGCACAGGAAAATCATTTTATAGTTTCTTACCTCAATCACGAAGATTTACATATATCTCAGTTATTCTTCACCAGTTCAGGTAAGTTTTGCAGATAATACAGCGAACTACGACACGAAGAGGAGCGTCACGAGTAACCTATCGTGGCTGTGAAAAGAATTTCTCGAAACTTGAAGGGTCATAAGAAAGAAGAAAACTTGAAAATTCCAAGGAATTCCCGTGCACTTAAAGAAACGACATCTAAAGCCTTCGGCAGACGTTCACGCAAAGTTCAACGACTCTCTAAATCCCACAACTTGATAAGCGTCACCTCAAACCGAAATTTTGCATTTTTGCATGTAATTACGACCAAGTTCGATATTTTAACCTATAAAATGCAAGATATTTTTCTCCAGAATACTATACTTTTTAAGATCCCGGACACTCAAAGTTTAACTTCTCCATAATACCACAATTTTGCTGATCTGATCACAACTTTAAGGTAATTGACATTTCACGAAGGACGGTACTTTGTGCAGTATATTCCACACTACTCATGCATAATTTTCATCAACAGCAGCCACTGAAAAGGAAATAATTGATTGCTTCACATTCCCCTCGCAAGAATTATTCGGGGACTTCGTTGAAGAAAAAGAATCACGCCTTTGTCGCCAAGAAGCCAAGAACTGCTCACATTTCTGTTTGCGGTGCGATTTCTGAAAACGTGCCCCACACAAAAGAATCTTTCATACGTCGGATAAAAACGCCTGCTCAAGACGTTTTGAAGAAGTTTCGCACATTGAACGCCGGCATATTTTATACGAACAGTACGTTTCTGTCACGATAGAACTCCGTTGTAGCATGGGTGGATGTAATTGCAAACATAATTCAAAATATTAAAAAGTGGATTCAGTTTTAGAATATTTGGGAAGCATATCTTCTCGCACTTTTCCTAAATATATTTTTTCCTCCATCCAATATATTCTTTTAGCATTTCGACAGAAAACCTCATTAAACCACCATACAATTTCAAAATTACCAAAATAACAACGATGACATTTCTTCTTTCCCAAAAAGCATGGGATCAGATCCCGACGAATGATTTCAGAAGCGAGACAAATTCGTACGCTATGAGAGCAGAAAACAAACTTAAATTCAAGAAAGACTTTCCCGCGAAATCCTCAACAAGTTTGGATCCGACAAGAAGTTCAACGAAAACAAATACTGTATTCTTCCTTCGACACTAAAAACTTAGAATCGTCGATAATATGGACGCAAAGAAAAATCCTTTCAATCCTCGTTACGTCGATCACGACGATTTACACATCTTTCAGCCCCCACGAAGATCTGAACTTGTAAGTTGTAAGTTCGTCATTCGGCTTATCACGAATTATTGCGCAGTAGATTAAGAATGAATAGCAAGAATCGATGACACGGAAGATCAAAACGACATGCACATAATGATCATTGAGCCCATAGGGTTTCCCACGCAAGTCCCCATATTTTACCATTCGACGAAAAAAAAAAAAAAAGCTTAAGAATTTTTTCCACCAGGAAAAACCCTCATGAATCTGGGTCGAAGCGAACTGAATCCCGTTCACGAGAGACGGTTTCAGGGACAGAGGACCTCAGGGTATGAAGCCTGAGGGTTCTTCCTGCCTGGCTCTCTCATCCAGATCATCGCTATGCAATCCTCCAATCCTACGCGTCAATATACTTCTCCAGGAGCACAAGAGGGAAAATCCGTCTCTCTTGCATACTCTTGCTAGAACTACATTGGATGGTTGTCAAGCCCGGACGCAGCCTTTCTTTGCGCCGAGTTTCCTGCGGAATTTCAGATTCATTTTCTTTTGAAGCGAGGAGGAACAAAGCTGCTGAGTTGGACAGAGTCTTATATTGAACGAAGCTTGTGAGATGGAAGAACATGGGACAATCAGAGAGGTGAAAAAGACTAAAAGCTTGGCAAAACAATCCGGCACTCCAGGTTTGTCGACATGTTCGGAGAACGAAGAACAATTATAGAAAGGCTGGAGTAGAAATGAAATCAACCGACGAATTCGGTCTTTTCCGATGCTTATCGTTCCTTGTGGTCACGAACAACCTGCACTTTTGCGACTCGGAAACAAAACGAAAAACGTACACAATGCACATCGCGAATGTTCGAAAACTGTACTACGAATTACTCCATAAAAAAACCGACTATCCAAACCAGGTACTGTAAAAAGCACCCCTTTTAAGAATTATACGGTGAACATGTTTTATCGGAGGACAGGCCAATTTCCGTGACGGGGCTGGCAGAGGAAATTGGAAAAACATTTTCACGTAGCTGACACATTTCGATGCAACATTCGAGAATTAAAAGGCTTTCGTGGCCTTAAAACACGTCCGGCGCTTTTCATGTATCACCTTCAAGCAATCATTCTCATTTTTTTCGCATGCAAATCACGTCACTGAAAAACATAAAATTCGCCAGGCTTTTCCAAAGGAACGTCCAGTCATCGGAATTGCCCCAGAACTATTTCCACAGCCATTCCTTGAACGGCAATTCATTCGCGATTGGATTGTCGAATAGTTTAGTTCTCTTCCTCTTACTTCGATTAGTGTGACTCTGAAGTGGTACCTCGTACAACGAACATAATTCGTTCAAGCCCTATGTTTGTAGTACGATTCGTCCTTCATACCGATTCCGTTCATAAAATTAATGAATTTTCTCCTTCGAACATATAAACAAATTTGCTCTGCATATGAATTTTTTTTACACCTTTAGAACAAAGGTAAAAATATTAACACTAATATTTTTTTCAAAAGAACGTTCGTAGTGGAAGGCGTACTACAAGGTTCACTTGTCTCAGCCTTCGGGATGCCACGAAATAATACTCGACAATTAAACAATTTTCCACGCATATTCCAATGGGGTAGTTCATGAATTATCCGCTTTCTCGACTCAATTATAAATCCTGATTTTATATCAAAAGAGAAAATATTGACAGGGATTATTTTTTGGAAAACGCGGCACACGAACATGCTTTTCAACGCTAAATTTTCCCAATCGTTCAGAAAGATCCAGAAATAATTTTCGCCTTTCACACCAATAATTTAACACCTCTCTGTCTCTCTCCAATTACGGCTGTAATTCGATTACAAACGAGCTCGTTCTTCTCAATTGTCCAGTGATTCGGCAGATACCAACAGCAGATAATCAACTTTAGTGCTAACCTTTATTTCTACGGTTAGCACTAAATTTCCAAGCTTACACTCATCCATGGTCGGCATAAGCTCAAATTTACATAAATCGATGGGGAGATAAATCCAAGATCAGCTAGCTATACACTGCTGTTAGACAAAGCATTTTTTGGCTACCAGAAACAAACTCGTCACCACGAATTCAGTTACAAGGCTTACAACAGTTCTTCCCTACGAGAACATCCCACGTCAGGGAACGGGAAAGCAAACACGATTTGACATATGAGAGGCGGGTAACCCCTGTGGGACGCATTCTCACAGGACAAGAGCCTCCAGCAGCAGGTTCCTTCCAAATGAAAAATTCAAGCGAGATATGACGGGAATGAGGAAAATGCAAAGCAATTTCTCAGGACAAAATAGGGAAAGTAGAACACCTCGGGAACACCCCGAAGCTGAGATGCTGGCTCCGAACGAAGTTCTTTTCCCGTTGACCTCGAATGCAAATGAACCTAGCCAGAAAAGCAGCTTTTACCCCCTCGTTTTGCTCAACATGAAAAATCACGTTCCCGCAAAAAAAAAATAAATGAGATGCTTCGTGCAAAAAATTGCCGTGGCTTCCGGCAAATCGCGTAATACAATACACCACCTTCATTTTCCCGCAAGCCTACGCTGTGAAAAACAATAAAAAAGTGCCTAGAAAAACGGTCTTGAAAATCAAAATGACACGATGGCCATCCTAAATGATGATTTCCGAAATCAATGCAGATGGGAGAAAATTCGAAAATGATTCATTCTAACTTACACAACATGGGCGAATGCCTCATCTTTTCGGAAGAATCACTCAGTGCGAAGACACCCAAAAGGCCTTACAATAGTTACAAATGAACTTTGATTATCCAGTTTCAATTGACCAAATGCCTGTTTAACCGTCATATTACAGGAAGGAAACAAGGGGGTCTGGAAACCAACAACCCTTGTTTTAAAGCAACAATCTGTCCCGTGAGAATTTCAGAATCTAGGCAAGGTGGCAATTGATTGAGGGTGATAAATGTACAGTACAGTAAAGTAAATGAATAAATTCACAGCATGCTGCATGAACTATGAAGGATCCAATACTTTTCTGAAAAATGGGCCTTTTGGAGCATAATTATGCTTAGTGTGGTATTGGACCAAAAGGTCACCTTGACAGAAAGGATTTGTGCAAGAAACACTCCATTTTACAAACACCTCCAAAATTAAACTTTTCAACATGAACATGAGAGAGGTACAGTTCAGTAACTCAGAAAACGTAAAAAATCCAAGTCAAAACGTAATGCAGGCTTTCT